TCACCAAACTTCGTAAAATATTTGTAGTTCTATCTAGGGGGCTTTTCCCTCTGGACTCCAACCAGGGGCCCTTAGCGGCCCCCTGGTCCCCAGCCTAGATACTCGCTTCGCTCGCATATTTTTACCGTATGAAATTCCACCCCCCCCCCCCCACCAGACACTTTCAAAATCGTTCCGCCGAGTTGAATGGTACGTGACATAAAATCACCTGCGCATGCGATAACGTTGAATTCTTGCGGTCTTATGGATTCTAGTACGCGAATTAACCAAATCTACGTAGGCTATCCAGTGAACTTAAGACGTACGGTATGTCGGTACAGTAACGCACATAAGTGATTCCGTTCTGGCGTCGCGTCGTCGAACAAACGAATGGAAAGCTTCCTATTATAATAATGGGCGCCCCAAAGTGTTTGATCTTGAGTTACATTTTTATTTTTCTGTTAAGGCCGGAGTTTTGATAATTATGTACTATTAGGCCTAGACGCAGGGTTCCCGGAACGTCGCCCTCAGTGGCGTGTGCAAAGCACAACACAAAGTCAGAAGTGGGACGTGAATGATTTCGATATAATATGGTTTTGTAGTCAGATTTTCAAGAAAAACTTCAGCTACCCGTATTTCTCGACTGAGACGTCTGTGGGAGCTGTAATTTGTATGGCAAGGAGATAGTGCTACCCTTAATTCGAATTAATGGAATTTACGGCCACAAACCTTGTAGTTATTAATATTTTTGTTATAGAACATTTTTATTTTTTGGTGACGGCGTGCTTTTTTCATGGATAAACACCACTGCTTTGCACATGGGTGCCTTACCTAGGGCTACAACAGCTGCATTGTTAGCATTACATAATACTTCAACAACGTACGTCTGCAACTGAATTATCTAATTAATTTTTTTCCCCCTTATTTTAATTTATTTCTTTCGAAAGTGTACTTTCTATCGCATATAATTGCACTGTCTTAGGCCTAGGCCTAGTTTTACTAATAAATAGCCTCACCGGCCCCACGCTACAGTGTACAGACCTATGCTAGGCAACAAAACGTGATATTGCATTGTTTGGCATCTCCAACATTGCTGCCTCTCACAATACACCAACTTCTATCTAATATCAAAATGTACCTTTCCCACCTCACTCACTTTGAATATCGCTCTCCTAACAATAACAATATTATTTCAGTCCCTTGTTATAGCATTTTACATCCCCTCTTGGCTCATGAGTACCATACTTCGAAAAAACTGTCTCCATATCTTCGCTAATTTATCACCGTACTTACACTTATGCATGAAGTAACTGCAGCACTTAAAATGTACAATAATCATTTCACTACCAGAGGGTAGTGAAACCCCTAACTTAATTATTCATGCATTACATAAATAGTTTCATGTTCCTGTAGTCCAACATCACTGACGCATGGCAACATCCAACTGACTGCAGACCATTTCCGGGATAACGTAGCACAAGTTCCGTCACCTCTGGATAACTACTAAAAATTATACATAAGTAGGCATAGTTCTAGATTAGTCATGTATTAAGAAGAGAATGTGATCACCTACTCAAAACAGTTTTAGTAGGCCACATTCAGGGGAAAGCACAGAGAGGAAGGAGAAAAGCATAACTCTTGGTCGAATGAAACAGAGTGACAGTTATTTTCAAATTAAAGGAAAAGATGAGAATAGCCAGCTCTAATGCTGGATGCCATAGGACCTGCCAAAATGGCAGAGCACCAATAAATGAATGAATGGGCTATTGTTGCCAGAAAGAAAGAAACTGCACAGAAACAGAACCCAGTCAGCTTGCTGCTGACTGGGTAATAATAGCAGGCCCATAGGCAGAGGGTGGGTGCGGTCGTAACCACCCCCCCCCCCAAATTCCAAAAGGTCCACTTTTTAAAACCTATGATTTCACAAAATCGTTCCTAATTATGACAATGCAATAGCATGCATTGCATTATATATTTGCCAGCTTATCTAACCGTTGATTTTTAATAATGTGTATGAAATTTGTTAGAAATTGATCGTCTCCGGTGATTGCAGATTGATCTATATAATATGAAGAATGTTATCTATAGGCTGCAGTTGTACAGGACATAATAACGTTACTTTTTCAGGTCCACAAAACACCCAAATTAATGAAAATTTAAATGAAATATTCATGAATTATGTAAGACCCTCAAAATGCTAGCCTACTTTGTCGTTTTTTTTTACAAACCCCCTCCAGGCCTCTGCCCCTGGACTACCAAATTTCAAAAAGTCCACTTTTTAAAACCTATTATTTCACTAAAATCATTCCTAATTATCGCGAAATGCTATAGTATGCATTACATTTTTTGCCCGCTCTTCTACCCGTTGATTTTTAATAATGTGCTACGAAGTCTGTTGGAAATTATCAGCTCCAGTGATTGTAGGCCTACAGATGTAAAGGACATGAAAAATTTCACAGTGGTGGATTCAAGGGGGAAGAGCCCGCTAAAATTATAAAAGAAATGGAGAAAAAATAAAATCATAATTAAAGTTTGTCTAAATGTGCCATTTCCGGCCACTTTGAGGAGCCATCATCATAAATTGTCTTACCTCGGCCCCAACCATGGTGGGGCTGAAATGGTATTGACCATCTGTTTGTGCAAGTTTCTCCCTTCACCCCACCCTCTATTTCTCCTGCTTTACTGTAGGTCCCTAGAAAATACTCAAATGAATGAAAATTTTAATAGGATATTACAAATTATAGATTTTATAAATCCATTAAAAAAGGCTCTCAATGCTAATTTGTCAGAGCTTCCAGAAGATTCGCCCCACCCTCGCGGGGATCAGGCAGTCGCGCATCGTAAGGTCCACTTCGGTTGCAAAACGCACCTCCCCATCGAAAATCCTGCCTACAGGCCTGAATAGTAAAACTCGAGGGTCACGACATTGCGAAGTGCCTGTTCATCTTGTTCCTAATCATTTAAACCATCATTTAATCACTATCGTATCGAACTCGAGTCGAGTCAATCCGAGACGGCCCGAGTGGAGTTTCAGAAAACAAAGATAGCATGGATGGGAATTGAACCGGGGGCCTAGAGCTAGATCTCCACGGTTCAGCGCACACAGTCGCTACCACCGGTTTAGACGTCTGAGCTAAGCCTGTCTCTTATACACATCTAGATGTGTATAAGAGACAGGCTATATCTTCTGGAATAAGTACGAAACAGTTGTAAATTGCTACATAGACTGATATTTGGTCCCTCTTTCAAGAAATACCATTCAAATTTGGGTAGCATATTTTATTTTAATGTTAGATGCCCCGAAAAATCCCCCAAAGCATTGCGCGAAAATAGATTTTCGCTTTTTCTGGAGGGCCGTATCTTATAATTCTTTTAAGTAAGGAAGTTAAAATTAAACATGTGATGAATATGCTCATACTATTAGACATATAAAAACTTGCAAGGTACTTAGAGTTATAGTTAAGGTATAATTGGGTCCTGAACATGGTTGCAGAACCATTGACCCTAAAAATACCCCTACTTTGACCGACGACCGGATGACCCCGTGGACACTTGATATTAATTGTGAAATTTATACCAGTATACAAACAGATATCATCATTGTATGTTTCTTAACTTCATCAGCGTGAACTGATTTTTTTAAATTAGATGTTAATGTAGTGTATTCTAAATATCGGGTCAAAGTTTAAATCACAAATAATTCAATATTTGTAGCTTGAACTTTGACCTGATATCCAGAGTACGTTAAAATCTGTCTATTAAAAAAAAATCAGTTGACACATAAGGAGTTGAGAAAAAAGTTTAAACTTTCTACTTAAATGATATGTTTATCGGTATACTGGTATCAATTTCACAATAAATATAAGTGTCTACGGGTCATCCAATAAAAACAACGTGACACTGCCAATGGATTTCATGATATAATACAAACTTACATGTGTGTAGCCAATGTGTGTAATATAAGGGGCGGGGGCGGCTAGAGGAGGGTGGGTCGTGGGGGTTCTTACCCTCCAAAAAATTAATCAAAATTTTTAAAAATATCCCAATTATAGTAGTAAATGTTCGGGAATGTAATATATGAAATGTAAGCCACCCTCCTTTTATTGTGATTTACAGAGCAACTGGAGTGACCCTACCTTGTGCACACGCCGAGTCATCTATAAATCTCGAATGTTGTGCGTACAGTAATAATTGAGATACAGTTGAAATGAACAACAAAAAAAACCTTTTTTTACCATCATGGTAATTCTCTGGTTACCCGATGATAACGAATGAAAACTCTGTAATTTATTACAGAATTATTTGGTATAATCAAAGAAGAGTGTAGATTAACTCTTCCCTGGTATTAAATCTTCATGTGCAACCACCTCCCATAAGCTATCACGTTAATGTCCACTCTCATTGTCCCGTTTGTTCTCCCTATCTAATCGGTGCACTTATACCTCTCGTAAGCCACCACCTCCCGTAAGCGACCGCGAACACTTTTTCTTAGGATTTTCCTCCCGTAAGCGACCAAGTTTTTAATAGATTTTGACAACAAATCAGATAATCGAACCTAAAATTAGACGCGGCGATGGTGCACCGTTGGATGCTTGCAGTAGTAATAGAACTACATACCCACTTTCACTACATACCCCTTTATCGGAGGGTCATGATTATAAAATCATTACCCTTTGTTGGCGGTACCAGGGAAGAGAGAAATCTCACTCCAAATCTATTTTCTTGTTTATACATTACGTTATGGCTGATTTTTTTTGTTAGAGGTTTATAGAAACTCCCAATTCTATCATTTATCATTTAGAATAACGCAAATTTCCGGGGCCTTTAACCCCCCCCCC